GAGGCTGTGGGGCCGGGAGCGGCCACTGCCCTCCAGTCTGGGCGATAGAGTGAGACTCCAACTCAAAAAAAAAAAAAAAAAGATGCAATGATACAGTGGAAAAAACATGTTAGGAAGGTTATATATACTATTAAGCCAGTGCTGGTAAGGAGCAAATATGTTTATATATTCATAGACAAAATTCTAGAAGAACAGACAGATGGTCCTTGACTTGCAATAGTTCAACACATGATTTTTTTATTTTCCAATGGTGCAAAAGTGATATGCCTTCAGTAAACTCCTCCACTTAGGATGTGGTTACATCTAGATAAATTCATCTGAAGTTGAAAACATCATATGTCAAAAGTGCCCTGGGAGCCGGGCTCGGTTCTTTACATAGAAGAGTGTTCACAGTTGATTTGATGACATATTGACCTTTTGTTTAAAGTGTTTCTAAAAAAAAAAAAAAAGTGCCCTGGATGTGTGGAGACATGGCCCCATCATAAGTCAAGGAGCACCTGGACACTAAATGTTACTTGCAACTAACTATGGTAATCTTCAGATGATGAGGTTACAAATGGTCTTTATTTTATTTTATGTTTTTGGGGGGGAGTTGGAGTCTCCCTCTGTCACCCAGACTGGAGTGCAGTGGCCACTCCCGGCCACCACAGCCTCGACCTGCTGGGCTCCGGCGATCCTTCCGCCTCAGCCTTCCAAATAGCCGGAATTACAGGCGCGTGCTACCACGTCCGGCTGATTTTTTGATTTATTGTAGAGATGAGGTCTCGCTGCACAGGCGGGTCTTGAACCCGCGGGCTCAGGCCATTCACTCACCTCAGCCTCCCAAAGGCGCGGGATTACAGGCTGAGCCACCGAGCCCGGCTGATCTTTATTTTCTTAAAGATGCTTCTGCATGTCCTGAGTTGTTGCAGTGCAGATGTATTACATTTATAGGGAGAAAAGTGAGCGAGTCCATGACAGTCATGGTCACTCTGTGCAATTACTTTGTGTCATCCTCACCCCCAAAAAACAATACATTGAAATCCGAACCCCCAATGTGATGGCATTCGGGGTTGGGCCTTTGGGGGGTGATTAGGTCACAGGGTGGAGCCTTCACAAATGAGATTAGTATCCTTATGGAAGGGAACCCAGAAGACTCTCGTGTGCTCTTCCAGCCAGGTGAGCCCACCACAAGAAGTCGGCCATCTGCAACCCAGAAGAGACCCCTCACCAAAACCCGCCTCTGCTGGCACTTGGACGCCGGAATTCTCCAGAGCAGGGAGAAATACATTTCGGTTGACCCTCAGCCAGCCAGGCTGTGGCACTTCGTTACAGCAGCTCGAACTAAGACTCTCTATGATAATGACAAGGATGCTGAGTTAAATCTGATTCCAGAAAACACGTAGAGACAAATAAGAAAGTTTGTGCAAAGAACATCTCTCACCTGCTAGGACAGGGATCACAAAAACTCAACAAGAAGTATCTTCTCAAAAGGCAGACTTGTCAAAGGTGTCTGAGGTGGGTGTGAGGGGCAGCTGAGTGTCTGAGAATAACTGAGGCTGAATAAAGTCCTTGTCCTGCACCACAAGGGCACGTGTGTTTGTCATGAAATACAGCCACGGACAAAAACAGAGGCACTGAGGATCACAGAGGACCCTGATGAGAAATGGGTTTATGCACCAGAGAACTAAAGAAGGGGTTTGGGGAAAAGGGTGAATTTTGGAGATACCTGCTTTTCAAACCAACTCTCAATGCATGGTGTACACCTCTCCTTCAAGAGGTCCCTGCAGGTGAATTACCTGTGGGAACTGCAGGAGGTATCTCTGTGATTCTAAGAACAGTATGGAGAAATAGGAACCTCCAAACACTGCTGGTAGGAATGTGAAATGGTGTAGCTGCCCTAGTGGGCCCTCAAACAGTTGGACATAGAGTTACCCCATGGACCAGCAATTCCACTCCCAAGAGTAGACCCACGAGCAATGAAAGCACATGTCCACATGGAACTGTGTACGCGAATGCTTATAGCAGCACTATTCACAATAGTCAAAAGGAAGGAACAGCCAAATGTCCATCACTGGGTGAACAGAGAGACAGAATGTGGCACAGTCATACAAAGGACTGTTATTTGGGCAAAAAAGGAACGAAGTACTGACGTTTCTACAACAAGAACCTTGAAAGCATGAGACAAGATGAAAGAAGCCAGACACAAAGTACCACACACTGTGTGATTCTATCCACATGGATGTCTAGAATAAGCAAGACTGTAGCGACAGGAAGTAGGTTAGTAGTGAGTTGCTGACGGCTCGATGAGGGGAGACTGCAGAGATGAGGGGTATCTCTGACAGAAAAAGGGCATGGAACAAGACCTCAGTGATGGCGGTACGTATCTGTGAACACACCGTAAGTCACTGCCTTGTACTCTTAGATGAGTGAACTGCATGATCTCGAGTTATAACTTGATAAAGTTGTTTCTTAAAAAAAATTTAAAAAGAGATTCTAAGTGTGACCCAGATCCGTGCATGCTGATTGTGTAGATACAGCAGCCGGCAAGTGGCCGGTTCCACCTAATGGGTCCGCTAAGGTGTGGGCCCAGACCTCTGCCACATGAGGGCGCATCACAGTTGACAGAATTTGTTTATGTTTGGCTTTTGGAACTGGATTTGACATGTTCTCCGTCCTAAAAATATGGCACAGACAGCCCCTGAGTCATGAAGGTTCGATGTACAATTTTCAGCTTCGCAATGGGCTATCAAGAGGCAGTCCCAACCATAAGCTGAGCAGCATCTGGATGTACAACAGTGCAACTTACAATTTTGTGACTTTACAGTGAGTTTATCGGGGGTATTAAGTGCATTTCCGACTTAAGATATTTTTACTTCTGATGGAGTTTATCAGGATGTAACCTGATCCTAAGTCAACAAGCATATGTAGTTAGATGCTTTGGATATTCAGTTACAACAATATCAAGTCAAAACAAAAAACAAAAACTCACCTCTATAGGCTTGAAAATGTCATGTCACGATCCGCTGCAGATCGTTCCAGTAGCCACAGCAACTACCGACTGCAGAAACTGGCATAACCAACCCATTCCTGGGAGGGGACGTGGACTCACCTCGCAGCCAGCTGTGAAGGCAGCCAGCCTCGAAAGAGACTGCTTCCCCGAGCCCCCGAGCCCGATCAGCAGGGCGTGACCTCGGTCCATGCGAATAATGCGGTGTACTCGGGTCAAATGCTCCAGGGCATTATCAAAGAGAACCAAGTTCATTTTGGTGTTGCTCTCATTATACTCTTCAAGAATTTCCTGAATTAAAAAAAAAAAAAAAGAAAAGCTTTACTACATGGGAGGCTGAAGCAGGAGGCTCCCTTAAGGCCATGAGTTTGAGACCAGCTTGGGCAAGATAGCAAGACCCGTGTACCTAAAATTAAAAAAAAGAAAGAAAGAAAGAAAGAAAATGTTTTAAAGGATCACCATGTTTAAGAGTTTAAGAGGTGGACTCCCTCCTCTTGTCCAGAAGAGATTAAGAACAGAGGAGGTATTTTTCTGAACATCTCAGTTGCCTGAATGACTAAATCATTTGAGTTTCCAGGACTAATATAGCTCTCACCATCAGACTTCCGGTCTGCTGGCGTTTAATTGGCCAGCAGTGAGCCAACGCAGATGGCAAGGCTCACCTCCTGGACTGACATGAAGATGACTGTTAGGGGGCCCCATGGGTGGCTCCCAAGCCTGGGCCCCCCTGTGGGCTTGATGCAGCGAGTCTCATGGGTGGACCCCGGGGGTCTGTTTAACAAATTCCTGACATCATTCCCACTCTGTTAGAGGAGGGGACTGTGGCTTTTCAAACTCTGAGACCTGGCCTCGGTGTTACACTCCCAGGCACATGGGGCTCAGCTCCCCCACACGGCCGTACGTGGCAGGAAGTGAGCCTGCAGGAAATGGGGGGCTCGTTCCCACCTGGAACAGAGCCTTGACCGCCTCGTAGTCCTGGACGTCCTCGTAAATGCGCGCTTCCTCCTCGTGCAGAGCCATCCGGAAGTCTCCAAACAGTATGGGATCCCTCATCACCGCCTCCAGGTCATTGTTAAAATGTGTCTCCACCAAGCTTCCTATGTGCCCTTGTACCTTAAGAGAGAAGGCCACTTAAGGACCCAAACTCAACAAGAGTACATGCACTAAAGCTTGCCCGAAAACAGCATTTGCTGTTTCTTTTCTTTTCTTTTCTTTTTTTAAGACAGAGTGTCACTCTGCAGTGGCAGGATCATAGCTGACTGCAGCCTTGAACCACTGCGCCTGGCTCCTTTGCTATTATTATCTAAGATAATCTGCATTCTATTATTTTCCCAATTGCTACAAGGTACTTAATAACCAACCCACCCTCGTTTACCTGTTCACTTTTATTGTTAGTGTCTATATTTCTGCAATTAGGGACCTATATAAAAAAATACATCAGGTATTTTTTTAATGTTTATTTTACTCAGAGAAGAATTTTGTGGTTAGAGTTTTGTATTTGCTGCGACATTTCAATGTACTAACCAGTTGCTTGTCTTTTTCATTGATCAGTCGGTCATGGAAGACTCTCAGACACTCATTCCTCCAGACTCTTACCATCTGGGCCACTGTCTGGAACCTACAGAAAGCAAGGGGTGAAATCAGCCATGAAGTCCCCTACGGGAGAGCAGGGCTCAATGCTGTTTTCAGATGGATACACGGGGTGCAGTGAGGGCTGACATTTCTATTGTCCTTTTCCCCTAGTCCTGCATTTAAAAAATTTAACCAGAGAACTCAATGGAAGCCAACAAATTAAATATCACCCTTCATAACTTGTCCTACTACAAGGGGACAATAGAGGATTATCTCTAAATGGCAAAAATGATAGAAGTACCTGACCTCACCCCAACTTGCTGGACTATGTGAGTTTAAAATCAGCCACAGGCAGCTCCTTTTTTTAAGCACCAGCTCCATCCGGCCCCCATTACAGACCTTTCCCTGGTTTCCAGCAAAGTTTCCACCCGAAACTCCTGAAGAGCTGCCCTCTCCCTGGACTGCCGATCTGTCCTTCAGGAGCACCCAGGAGCAAATTAGGGTACCTGGAAAGTCCTTCATGCATTTTCAATATTCTGTGGGTTTATAAAATGAACCCACACCACAGGGCTAGGCCTGCAAATCTATAAAGATTAAAGTATGCATTCATGCAAAGACATAAGTCTGGCTTTGGGTTTTTTGGTTGCTGTTGTTCTTTTTCCTCTTCTTCTTTTGTTTTTACATACCCAAGAGAATTGAAAAATGAATCTCGTTTTAATGGGAAATTTTCTATATATGCATCTAGATCCTTTCTGTCCTCTTCTCTTTAATCATAACTAACTGGAACTGGAAGCTATTCAGTTGCATAAGCCAGAGACAGATTCCAACTTCAGAACTGAAAACAAGAGGTCAACAAGCAATCCCACCTGAGGGGTCTGGTCCACCGGCCCACATGTCAAGACATCTGCTTCTCTTGGTTCTACCTCTCCTCGACTCAAGGCTTACAATCATCAGGCCTTAAGCCAGG